CTTCTGTGCCAGACCCATTGCTCATCATTAACAGACATAAGGCATTTTACGTTCTGAACCTTAAGTTCTGAAAGATTGATTTTATAAATGTTGCTCTTCCTCTTTCCATTAAATAGGATTGAACCATCCTTTTGACTGACAGCTTTGCAACATTTATAATTAAAGATTATGTCATAACCATTGTCACTTAATTGACTTATGGACAATAGATTATATTTTAATCCTTCTACAAGTAAAACATTAGATATAGAGGGAAGGTTACCATTGCCAATAGTACCAGAGCCAATTATCTTGCCCTTCTGGTTCCCACCAAATTTGACTTCTCCTCCAGATTTAAGCTCCAGGCTTTGGAACATAAACCTTTCTCCCGTCATGTGACGTGAGCAGCCAGAGTCCAGGTACCATGATTGGCGTCTTGACTTTACTGCTAAATACATCTGCAACAGATATTATCTTATCCTTAGGTACCCAGATATTTTTGGGTTAGTTGCCTTAAAAGTTTGTCTGAACTTCTGTCTTTTAACAACAGGTTTGTTCTGACTAACTTTCGGTTTAAACACAGGAATGTTCTGATCAGAACGTGTGTGTTTAATGTCATTCAGATGACCAAACTTAAAGTGAGAATATAAGGGTGTATTCTTAATGATAAGTTTATCAACATGTATTGGACTTAAATCCTTTCCAGAGGAAGATTCATATCCAATTCCCTTCCTATTTTTTCTGCTAACTCCATAGATCATTGAAGTCATCTTGCTTCTATCTATGCTTTTAGCCAGAAACTTCTGAAAACTATAGTCATATTCTTCTAAAATATTTTTACATTTTGACTTAGTTTCAGGTTCAGAGTCTTGTTGAGCTTTTTCAAAATTGTTTTTCATTTTCAAATTGTTTTCTTTGAGCTCAGCAACTTCTGACTTTAACAGACTATTCTCAGATTCAAGATTGCATTTAAGCTTCTTGCACTTGAGCTTAATCTGGTTATAGTTTTTCATAACTTCTGATAAAACCTCAATAAGTTCTTCCCTAGAGAGATCAGAAAGTACCTCTTCTGAGTCAGATTTAGAATTAGATTCAGATCCAGATGTTCCTTCATCCTGATCTTCCACGCCTGCCATCAGTGTCATGTTGGCACATTCTTCTTCTGACTCTGATGAAGATTCAGATGCATCTGAATCATCCCAGGTTGCCATCAGAACTTTCTTTTTATGCTCAGACTTCCTTCTTGACTTCTCCTTCTGAAGCTTTGGGCATTCATTCTTGTAGTGCCCAGGTTCCTTGCATTCATAGCAAACAACTTCTTTCTTTCCAGATCTTCTGTGTCCAGAAGACTCTTTGCGTTGATCTGGTTTCTTAAAGTTCTTGAACTTCCTCTATTTATGCTTCCAGAGTTTGTTGATCCTTCTGGACAGCAGGGACAGTTCATCTTCTTCTTTTGAAGAAGATTCTTCAGAACTTTCTTCTAAAACCTGCTAAGCTTTGGCTGATTTGTTAGACTTTAAAGCAATAGACTTACCTTTTTTTCTGGGGTTCGTCTTCCTCTAATTCAATTTCATGACTCCTCAGCGAGCTGATTAGTTCCTCCAGCGTGATCTTGTTTAGATCCTTTGCTAGCTTCAGAGCAGTGACCATTGGTCTCCATCTGATTGGCAAACTTCTGATGATCTTCTTAACATGATCTGCAGTGGAGTAACCCTTGTCCAAAACTTTTAAGCCAGCTGTGAGAATCTAGAATCTAGAGAACATAACTTCTATAGATTCTGATTTCTCCATTTTGAAGGCTTCATATTTCTGGATCAGCGCCAGAGCCTTAGTCTCCTTGACTTGAGAATTCCCTTCATGAGTCATCTTCAAAGATTCAAACATACCAAATGTTGTTTCTCTGTTAGTAATCTTCTCATACTCAGTATGAGATATAGCATTTAGAAGTATGGTTCTAACTTTATGATGATTCCTGAATTCTTTCTTCTGAGCTTCAGTCATAGATTTTTTGTCTATCTTTTTGCCATCCCCATCAGTGGGGTGAACATAGCCATCAATAACTAAATCCCAAAGGTCAGCATCATATCCTAGAAAGAAACTTTCAATCCTGTCTTTCCAGTAGTCAAACGTTTCCCCATCAAACATAGGGGGTTTAGTGCTGATTCTATCTCTGTCTTCATATCTGTTGTTGTTGGATGTTGAAGCTTCAGCCAAAATATATCAAGAGTTTTCTCAACTGGATCTTTTCTGTTCACGGTGAAGTGATAGCACTAACAGAACCGGAGCTCTGATGTCAACTGAAGGTGAGAAAAACACTTAGACGGGGGGGGGGGGGGGGGGGGGTTGAATAAGGGTTTAGAAAATATTATAGCAATAAAAACACAATGATTTTTATCCTGGTTCGTTGAACTCAACTAATCCAGTCCACCCTATCAAGAGTGATTTGCCTTTCTCCACAAGGACTTAATCCACTATAATCGAACAGATTACAATGTCAACCACTAAGAACAACTGTCTTAGTCTTCTCAAGAACTACTAACCACAACTTGGTCTTCTTAAGGAACTTTGATAATCAAATGTAAACTAAACAAGTGTTTAAAATGCTTCTATGAAAGCTATATCACAACTGTGATTTATACACTTAAGATTAAGAACGAATGAAACTATTAAACAAATAAATATAATTTGTATGAGAGCTTTGAGAGAGTTTTCAATAGATTCGTCAATATTCCTCAACTGTAGAAAGTTGTTGAAGGCTTGCTTTTATAGACAAAGACATCCAAGACGTTGCAAGCTTGAAGACCGTGTACTGCAAAGTAGCTATAGCCTTTTGTCTTCACATGACTTGACCTTTCCTAGAAGTAGAACGTTCAGAGAAATCCTTTTTTCCTGAGTTCTTGTGTCTAGCATAAAAGAGGAAAGAATCGTTTGGAATATGCCAACGGATATATCTTTGAATAATCTTCTTCAACAAGCTTCTATCTCACAGCAATCAACATCAGAGCCTTGAGTGATCAGAGTCTTGATGTTATCAAAGTTTGTTGTATCAGTGTGTTGCAGCAAGTGTGCTTCAGCGTGAGTAACAATCAGAGCAAAGTTTGGAGATCAGATCCTCAGTACTTGCAGCGAACAGTACTATCAGAGTCTTCTGAAAAACAATGCCTGAAACTCTTTATACAAAGTCTTCAGCTACACTTCAGATGCTTCTGTAGCTTCTGCTCCAGAGTCTTCTGTAGGCAGCGCTCAGAGTCTTCTAACGAGATGCTTCTGACGCTCAGAGCCTTGCGTAGTTCAATGTTCAGATTCATTTTTGCTTTCAGAAGAATATTAAATTTAATATCTGCAACAAAAATACTTGAACAAATTTAGAGTATATAATTTCTTAATACAAAATTTCATTAGTGTTATCATCAAAACATAGAGATATAATTAAGAACCAATATGTGTTCTAACAAGCATGTGACTTAGGTAAAGAATACAACAATAACAATGTTTGATCTTCACCATTGATGATAACATCAATATTTTCAAGATCAAGAATCAGCTTGCTGGACGTATCTGGCTACTCCGATAATGCTTTATCTTCAGTTATCTTGAATGAATACAAAGCCTGCTTCAAGTATAAATGATTCACCAAAGATTTTATCATATACAATTCTTCGAGTTTTAGCCAAACACCAGCCGTCGTCTTCTCCTTCGAAACCTGCCTGAGAACTTTATATCAAGACTCAGAACAATTGCGATGTGGGCTTTCTCGATAATCGTTGTCTTTTCCTTCTCTGTAAGTGCATCATTCATGCCATCTCCTTCCTTTAACGCTTCTAGAAAACCCTGTTGAACAAGAAGGGCTCGCATCTTCAAACGCCATAAACCGAAGTCATTAAATCCGATGAACTTCTAAACTTCAAACTTTGTTGACGACATCTTCTCCATGCTCACCGCACCGGTTTGTTATGATCGCAAACGATACCTTTCAACAAATCAAGATTGAGAAACTGAGTTCTTGGATGAATAATGAAATCAGATAGAACAAAGAGAAAAAGAAGAAAGGATAAAGAAGAAAGAATATGAATGATTAGGGAAAATTGTTTATTATTCATTTTCTCATAAGGGTTTGCAAATGATTACAAATGAATATCACAATTTTCTTCACCCAACAACCTGAGTGATCTAGTCTATATATAAACTAACTAGATAACTTGTAACCCAAGCTAACTAAACAATTGGATCCATAACAAAAGGCTCAATTCGACAAATATTTCAACAATACATATTAGAATAGACTTCGACTACAATATATATCCTTCGACCACATCATTTGACACATCTTCGACTTCATGTTTGTCTCCTGTCTCAGTGTTCTTATTGGAGAAAATATGATCTCATGGAGGAGTAAGAAACAAAACACAATTGCACTATTTAGTGTTGCCGCTGAATATCGTGTTATGGTAGCAACATCAAAGGAACTTGTGTCGCTTAAGAATTTACTCTCAGAACTTAGGTTGGGAGACCTTCAGGACACAAGACTCATATGCGACAATCAAGCGACACTTGACATTGCATCCAATCTTGTATTCCATGAACGGACCAAGCACTTAGAAATAGTATGTCACTATGTAAGAGAAAAAGTACTATCAGGAGAAATAACCACAAAGTTCGTCAAATCTGAAGATCAATTGGCTGATATGTTTACCAAGTTTCTTAAGGGTTTTCAAGTGAATTATATCTGTAACAAACTCGGATTATACAATATATACGATCCGATTTGAAGGGGAGTGTTGAGAATCGGTTACAAATCAATTAGTATTGATTTGCTTTCAATTATTCATTAGTGTAAATTATATTATTACATGTTGTGTATACCTATTTTATATATAAATATACAACATATGCGATCATATTCGACACACATAAATACAATCACAATATAATCTACAATCAACACCATTAATCCTTATACAACATCTGCGATCATATGACACACATGTATACAATCACAATATAATCTATAATCAACACCATTAATCCTTTGTTAACTCTTCCTCCTTAAAGCCATTTTCTTCACTGTTCTTGAGTTCAGTTAACTCTTTCTCCATTGATCTAGTTTCATCACTAATAACCTTTTCATCAAATAATGGATTCACATTCTTGAGTTCAGTTGAATCTTCCTCCTTTGTACCATTTTCTTCAGTCTCCTTAGATACTTTATCAACAGTAGGTCCATAAATCCAACTGCACACTAAATAATATACAAAATTAAGAGCATTAAGTCCAGCTATAACCCAATAGTACTTTTCAAAACGACCCTTATTAATATTATCAGTAATCCACCCTTGTTTTCCTCCTCTTGAAGTAAAGTTTTCTATAGTGTTGAATACAAAAGAAGATACCAAGTTTCCTACAGCCGCTGCCAAACCAGAAAGAGAAGCGGAAACACTAGACATAGTCGTCGGAAACTCTGTGTAAAAGAACTCATTTTGGCCTATTCCATTGAATGCTGAAGCTATTCCACTCAAACAAAGTTGAGGTGCAAGACACATTGCAGACATTTTCAACACTCCATCAGGATCATTCAAATATCCTTCCTTGATTGCTTCCTTTCTTCTTATACTCTCAAAAGTCGCTGCAGTTACAAAGTAGAGAAAGGAAAAAAACAAGCCTATTCCCATTCTTGTCTTTGGACTTATCCTCACCGGTTTCCCTCTTATCTTTGATGCTAGAGGAATAACAACGCGATCATAGAGAACAATGCATATAAATATTGCACCAACCATGATAACACTAAAAGATCCTGCTGGAACTTCAAAGTGTGAGGTGATATGTCTGTCTAAGGATTTAGCTTGAAGCAATCCAAATGATCCTCCAATGTCAAGGGACATCATGATCCCTGTTGACCACAACGGAATTACTCTTACAAGGGCTTTTAGTTCTTCTACTTGATCTACTGTGCATAGTCTCCAAGGATTTATTGCTGAACCATCTGAGGCTATATCTTGTTCATGATCCTTAATAACACATGCTTTTTTCATAAACCTAGAAATGAAAATCTTTAGCTCTTGAAATCAAATACTTAATAAGAGAAAATGTTGGTATGTTTATTTTATTCTACATACCTTAGGTTATCAGTTGGAACAACAAGATCTGAGTTCTTGTTGTGATGGTATAAACCAGTTGAGTTTTTAGGTGGTAATGGAAATTTTCTGTTCTTATAAGTAGCTACAGTTACTTGTGCAAAACTAGTACACAAGCTGGTTCTTTTGGTGATCTTGACATAAAGAGGAGAAGCAAGAAAGAATAAGAGAGTAGATAAAAGCATGAGTGTTGCGGGAATACCGAAACCAATTTTCCAACCGAGATGATCTTGAATGTATACAATTCCGGTAAGAGCTATTATGACACCAATAATTGCAAAAGCATAATACCAACTGAAGAATGTTTCCAAGACTCTATAGGTATTTGGATTATCTTTTCTATTCACTTGGTCAGCACCAAATGCCATGGAACATGAAAGACCACCATTTCCAATTGACATTAGACCAAATGCAGAGAGTAGCATTGCCATTTGACCTTTCGTTGCTGATTTACAGCCTTCTGTTGGATGTACACAAGCTGGAGGCCTTGCCTGTGGGACCATGGTTATAGTCATCCCTAGGTGTTTGGGTGTGTCTTATCCTTCCAAATAGATTTGTCAACCCTAGGCAGAAAGAACACAATGTTTTCCCCTTAGAATCCTCTTAACAGCTGTTAAGTGTGATTCTCTAGGATCTGATTGGAATCTAGCACACAAGCATACACAGAATAAAATGTCAGTTCTAGAAGCAGTTAAGTATAGAAGAGATCCAATCATACCTCTGTAGAGTTTCTGATCTACTTTCTTACTTATCTCTTCCTTACCAAGAATGCTTATTGGATGCATTGGAGTCTTTGCTAACTTACTATCAGTCATGTTGAACTTCTTCAGAAAGTCTTTTACATATTTAGTCTGATGAATGTAAGTGCAATCTGGAGTTTGGCTGACTTGAATTCCTAGAAAGAATCTCAATTCTCCCATCATGCTCATCTCAAATTCAACCTGCATACATTGAGCAAACTCCTTTCCAAGCGTAATATTTGTAGATCCAAATATAATATCATCTACATATATTTGACAAATTAATAGATCTTTCTTACATGTTTTACAGAAGACAGTTGTGTCCACTTTGCCTCTAATAAAATTTTTCGCCTGAAGAAAATTACTTAATCTCTCATACCAAGCTCTAGGAGCTTGTTTTAAACCATAAAGAGTTTTCTTAAGTTTAAAAACATGTTCTGGAAATTTATCACTTTCAAAACCAGGAGGTTGATGAACATAGACTTCCTCTTCTATAATCCCATTTAAGAAGGCACTCTTAACATCCATCTGATATAGAGTGATGTTATTTTTTGCAGCAAAAGAAATGAGTAGGCGTATAGATTATAACCTGGCCACATGAGCATAAGTCTCTGTGTAGTCAATTCCTTCTTGCTGACTATAACCTTGAGCAACAAGCCTTGCTTTGTTTATTACAACTTCTCCTTTTTCATTCAACTTGTTTCTGAAGATCCATTTAGTTCCAATAATGTTGAATCCTTTTGGTCTTGGAACCGAATCCCAAACGTCATTTCTTGTGAATTGATTGAGCTCTTCTTGCATGGCAATTATCCAGTCATTGTCTTGCAGAGCTTCATCCACAAAAGTTGGTTCAATAACTGACATCAAACCAAATAATGACGCTTCAGATGATCTGAGGTAGGATCTTGTTCTTATAGGGTCATCCTTCTTTCCAATGACCATTTCTTCTGCATGGGAAGACTTGATTCTGGATGATCCTTTAACATTTGATTCTTCATAAATATTTAAGTTTTTCATTTGAGTAGCCAAAGGAGTTGCATCTGGCTCTTTCAATTTAGCTTTATCTGCCTCTGAATCTTCAGAGTCTGTGAGAATTACTTCTCTATCTGCAGAACTTTCAAACTGCTTTGGCTTTTGATTGCTAAGCTTATCATAAAATCTAACATGTATAGATTCCTCCACAATCTGTGTTTCAGTATTGTATACTATGTAGCCTTTAGAGCGTTCAGAATACCCAAGCATGAAACACTTCTGTGCTTTAGAATCAAACTTGTTCAGATTCTCTTAAGTATTCAACATATAACATATACATCCAAAAGGATGGAAATAAGAAATGTTGAGCTTTCTTTTCCTCCACAATTCATAGGGAGTCTTCTCCAGAAGAGGTCTTACAGACACTCTGTTCTGAATATAACAGGTTGTGTTTATTGCTTCTGCACAAAAATGCTTTTCGAGATTAGTCTTGTTGATCATGGTTCTGGCCATTTCTTGCAATGTTCTATTTTTCCTCTCTACAAATTCATTCTCTTGTGGAGTTCTAGGGCAGGAGAAATCATGAGCAATGCCATTTTCATTAAAATATTTTTCAAAAAATTTGTTTTCAAATTCGCCTCCATGATCACTTCTGACTTTAACAATTTTAAAATCTTTTTCATTCTGGACTTGTTTGCAGAAGTCAAAGAACATAAAATGTGACTCATCCTTGTGTTTTAGGAATTTCACCCACGTCCATCTGTTGTAATCATCAACAATGACTAACCCATACTTCTTGCCTCTGATGGATGCAGTTTTCACTGGTCCAAACAGATCAATATTAAGTAACTCTAATGGTCTTGAGGTTGAAACAACATTTTTAGTTTTAAAAGAAGATTTTGAAAATTTTCCTTTTTGACATGCTTCACAAAAAGCATCTGAGTTGAACTTCAACTTAGGAAGTCCTCTGACCAGATTGAGTTTATTAATCTAAGATATACGTCTCATATTAATATGCCCCAATCTTCTGTTCCAGACCCATTGCTCATCATTAACAGACATAAGGCATTTTACGTTCTGAACCTTAAGTTCTGAAAGATTGATTTTATAAATGTTGCTCTTCCTCTTTCCATTAAATAGGATTGAACCATCCTTTTGACTGACAGCTTTGCAACATTTATAATTAAAGATTATGTCATAACCATTGTCACTTAATTGACTTATGGACAATAGATTATGTTTTAATCCTTCTACAAGTAAAACATTAGATATAGAGGGAAGGTTACCATTGCCAATAGTACCAGAGCCAATTATCTTGCCCTTCTGGTTCCCACCAAATTTGACTTCTCCTCCAGATTTAAGCTCCAGGCTTTGGAACATAAACCTTTCTCCCGTCATGTGACGTGAGCAGCCAGAGTCCAGGTACCATGATTGGCGTCTTGACTTTACTGCTAAATACATCTGCAACAGATATTATCTTATCCTTAGGTACCCAGATATTTTTGGGTTAGTTGCCTTAAAAGTTTGTCTGAACTTCTGTCTTTTTACAACAGGTTTGTTCTGACTAACTTTCGGTTTAAACACAGGAATGTTCTGATCAGAACGTGTGTGTTTAATGTCATTCAGATGACCAAACTTAAAGTGAGAATATAAGGGAGTATTCTTAATGATAAGTTTATCAACATGTATTGGACTTAAATCCTTTCCAGAGGAAGATTCATATCCAATTCCCTTCCTATTTTTTCTGCTAACTCCATAGATCATTGAAGTCATCTTGCTTCTATCTATGCTTTTAGCCAGAAACTTCTGAAAACTATAGTCATATTCTTCTAAAATATTTTTACATTTTGACTTAGTTTCAGGTTCAGAGTCTTGTTGAGCTTTTTCAAAATTGTTTTTCATTTTCAAATTGTTTTCTTTGAGCTCAGCAACTTCTGACTTTAACAGACTATTCTCAGATTCAAGATTGAATTTAAGCTTCTTGCACTTGAGCTTAATCTGGTTATAGTTTTTCAGAACTTCTGATAAAACCTCAATAACTTCTTCCCTAGAGAGATCAGAAAGTACCTCTTCTGAGTCAGATTTAGAATTAGATTCAGATCCAGATGTTCCTTCATCCTGATCTTCCACGCCTGCCATCAGTGTCATGTTGGCACATTCTTCTTCTGACTCTGATGAAGATTCAGATGCATCTGAATCATCCCAGGTTTCCATCAGAACTTTCTTTTTATGCTCAGACTTCCTTCTTGACTTCTCCTTCTGAAGCTTTGGTCATTCATTCTTGTAGTGCCCAGGTTCCTTGCATTCATAGCAAACAACTTCTTTCTTTCCAGATCTTCTGTGTCCAGAAGACTCTTTGCGTTGATCTGGTTTCTTAAAGTTCTTGAACTTCCTCTATTTATGCTTCCAGAGTTTGTTGATCCTTCTGGACAGCAGGGACAGTTCATCTTCTTCTTTTGAAGAAGATTCTTCAGAACTTTCTTCTAAAACCTGCTAAGCTTTGGCTGATTTGTTAGACTTTAAAGCAATAGACTTACCTTTTTTTCTGGGGTTCGTCTTCCTCTAATTCAATTTCATGACTCCTCAGCGAGCTGATTAGTTCCTCCAGCGTGATCTTGTTTAGATCCTTTGCTAGCTTCAGAGCAGTGACCATTGGTCTCCATCTGATTGGCAAACTTCTGATGATCTTCTTAACATGATCTGCAGTGGAGTAACCCTTGTCCAAAACTTTTAAGCCAGCTGTGAGAATCTAGAATCTAGACAACATAACTTCTATAGATTCTGATTTCTCCATTTTGAAGGCTTCATATTTCTGGATCAGCGCCAGAGCCTTAGTCTCCTTGACTTGAGAATTCCCTTCATGAGTCATCTTCAAAGATTCAAACATACCAAATGTTGTTTCTCTGTTAGTAATCTTCTCATACTCGGTATGAGATATAACATTTAGAAGTATAGTTCTAACTTTATGATGATTCCTGAATTCTTTCTTCTGAGCTTCAGTCATAGATTTTTTGTCTATCTTTTTGCCATCCCCATCAGTGGGGTGAACATAGCCATCAATAACTAAATCCCAAAGGTCAGCATCATATCCTAGAAAGAAACTTTCAATCCTGTCTTTCCAGTAGTCAAACGTTTCCCCATCAAACATAGGGGGTTTAGTGCTGATTCTATCTCTGTCTTCATATCTGTTGTTGTTGGATGTTGAAGCTTCAGCCAAAATATATCAAGAGTTTTCTCAACTGGATCTTTTCTGTTCACGGTGAAGTGATAGCACTAACAGAACCGGAGCTCTGATGTCAACTGAAGGTGAGAAAAACACTTAGACGGGGGGGGGGGGGGGGGGGGGGGGGGGGGGGGGGGGCTGAATAAGGGTTTAGAAAATATTATAGCAATAAAAACACAATGATTTTTATCCTGGTTCGTTGAACTCAACTAATCCAGTCCACCCTATCAAGAGTGATTTGCCTTTCTCCACAAGGACTTAATCCACTATAATCAAACAAATTACAATGTCAACCACTAAGAACAACCGTCTTAGTCTTCTCAAGAACTACTAACCACAACTTGGTCTTCTTAAGGAACTTTGATAATCAAATGTAAACTAAACAAGTGTTTGAAATGCTTCTATGAAAGCTATATCACAACTGTGATTTATACACTTAAGATTAAGAACGAATGAAACTATTAAACAAATAAATATAATTTGTATGAGAGCTTTGAGAGAGTTTTCAATAGATTCGTCAATATTCGTCAACTGTAGAAAGTTGTTGAAGGCTTGCTTTTATAGACAAATACATCCAAGACGTTGCAAGCTTGAAGACCGTGTACTGCAAAGTAGCTGTAGCCTTTTGTCTTCACATGACTTGACCTTTCCTAGAAGTAGAACGTTCAGAGAAATCCTTTTTGCCTGAGTTCTTGTGTCTAGCATAAAAGAGGAAAGAATCGTTTGGAATATGCCAACGGATATATCTTTGAATAATCTTCTTCAACAAGCTTCTATCTCACAGCAATCAACATCAGAGCCTTGAGTGATCAGAGTCTTGATGTTATCAAAGTTTGTTGTATCAGTGTGTTGCAGCAAGTGTGCTTCAGCGTGAGTAACAATCAGAGCAGAGTTTGGAGATCAGATCCTCAGTACTTGCAGCGAACAGTACTATCAGAGTCTTCTGAAAAACAATGCCTGAAACTCTTTATACAAAGTCTTCAGCTACGCTTCAGATGCTTCTGTAGCTTCTGCTCTAGAGTCTTCTGTAGGCAGCGCTCAGAGTCTTCTAACGAGATGCTTCTGACGCTCAGAGCCTTGCGTAGTTCAATGTTCAGATTCATTTTTGCTTTCAGAAGAATATTAAATTTAATATCTGCAACAAAAATACTTGAACAAATTTAGAGTATATAATTTCTTAATACAAAATTTCATTAGTGTTATCATCAAAACATAGAGATATAACTAAGAACCAATATGTGTTCTAACAAGCATGTGACTTAGGTAAAGAATACAACAATAACAATGTTTGATCTTCACCATTGATGATAACATCAATATTTTCAAGATCAAGAATCAGCTTGCTGGACGTATCTGGCTACTCCGATAATGCTTTATCTTCAGTTATCTTGAATGAATACAAAGCCTGCTTCAAGTATAAATGATTCACCAAAGATTTTATCATATACAATTCTTCGAGTTTTAGCCAAACACCAGCCGTCGTCTTCTCCTTCGAAACCTGCCTGAGAACTTTATATCAAGACTCAGAACAATTGCGATGTGGGCTTTCTCGATAATCGTTGTCTTTTCCTTCTCTGTAAGTGCATCATTCATGCCATCTCCTTCCTTTAACGCTTCTAGAAAACCCTGTTGAACAAGAAGGGCTCGCATCTTCAAACGCCATAAACCGAAGTCATTAAATCCGATGAACTTCTCAACTTTAAACTTTGTTGACGACATCTTCTCCATGCTCACCGCACCAGTTTGTTATGATCGCAAACGATACCTTTCAACAAATCAAGATTGAGAAACTGAGTTCTTGGATGAATAATGAAATCAGATAGAACAAAGAGAAAAAGAAGAAAGGATAAAGAAGAAAGAATATGAATGATTAGGGAAAATTGTTTATTATTCATTTTCTCATAAGGGTTTGCAAATGATTACAAATGAATATCACAATTGTCTTCACCCAACAACCTGAGTGATCTAGTCTATATATAAACTAACTAGATAACTTGTAACCCAAGCTAACTAAACAATTGGATCCATAACAAAAGGCTCAATTCGACAAATATTTCAACAATACATATTAGAATAGACTTCGACTACAATATATATCCTTCGACCACATCATTTGACACATCTTCGACTTCATGTTTGTCTCTTGTCTCAGTGTTCTTATTGGAGAAAATATGATCTCATGGAGGAGTAAGAAACAAAACACAATTGCACTATTTAGTGTTGCCGCTAAATATCGTGTTATGGCAGCAACATCAAAGGAACTTGTGTCGCTTAAGAATTTACTCTCAGAACTTAGGTTGGGAGACCTTCAGGACACAAGACTCATATGCGACAATCAAGCGACACTTGACATTGCATCCAATCTTGTATTCCATGAACGGACCAAGCACTTAGAAATAGTATGTCACTATGTAAGAGAAAAAGTAATATCAGGAGAAATAACCACAAAGTTCGTCAAATCTGAAGATCAATTGGCTGATATGTTTACCAAGTTTCTTAAGGGTTTTCAAGTGAATTATATCTGTAACAAACTCGGATTATACAATATATACGATCCGATTTGAAGGGGAGTGTTGAGAATCGGTTACAAATCAATTAGTATTGATTTGCTTTCAATTATTAATTAGTGTAAATTATATTATTACTTGTTGTGTATACCTATTTTATATATAAATATACAACATATGCGATCATATTCGACACACATAAATACAATCACAATATAATCTACAATCAACACCATTAATCCTTATACAACATCTGCGATCATATGACACACATGTATACAATCACAATATAATCTATAATCAACACCATTAATCCTTTGTTAACTCTTCCTCCTTAAAGCCATTTTCTTCACTGTTCTTGAGTTCAGTTAACTCTTTCTCCATTGATCTAGTTTCATCACTAATAACCTTTTCATCAAATAATGGATTCACATTCTTGAGTTCAGTTGAATCTTCCTCCTTTGTACCATTTTCTTCAGTCTCCTTAGATACTTTATCAACAGTAGGTCCATAAGTCCAACTGCACACTAAATAATATACAAAATTAAGAGCATTAAGTCCAGCTATAACCCAATAGTACTTGTCAAAACGACCCTTGTTAATATTATCAGTAATCCACCCTTGTTTTCCTCCTCTTGAAGTAAAGTTTTCTATAGTGCTGAATACAAAAGAAGATACCAAGTTTCCTACAGCCGCTGCCAAACCAGAAAGAGAAGCGGAAACACTAGACATAGTCGTCGGAAACTCTGTGTAAAAGAACTCATTTTGGCCTATTCCATTGAATGCTGAAGCTATTCCACTCAAACAAAGTTGAGGTGCAAGCCACATTGCAGACATTTTCAACACTCCATCAGGATCATTCAAATATCCTTCCTTGATAGCTTTCTTTCTTCTTATACTCTCAAAAGTCGCTGCAGTTACAAAGTAGAGAAAGGAAAAAAACAAGCCTATTCCCATTCTTGTCTTTGGACTTATCCTCACCGGTTTCCCTCTTATCTTTGATGCTAGAGGAATAACAACGCGATCATAGAGAACAATGCATATAAATATTGCACCAACCATGATAACACTAAAAGATCCTGCTGGAACTTCAAAGTGTGAGGTGATATGTCTGTCTAAGGATTTAGCTTGAAGCAATCCAAATGATCCTCCAATGTCAAGGGACATCATGATCCCTGTTGACCACAACGGAATTACTCTTACAAGGGCTTTTAGTTCTTCTACTTGATCTACTGTGCATAGTCTCCAAGAATCGACCCAAATAAGAATCTACAAGAAAGGCGCCAATAACAGGCGTGAAATTGTTGGCTGCAGAAGATAAGAGAAGAATCTGAGTAGCATTTCCCAGATGAAGTCGGTGACTTCCCATCAAATAAACAATCATGTTTGGCGATATTCCCACACTGGCCATACTTGAAAACGCCTCATTTGCTGTAACAAACAACAATACCATATTATATACATCAACAAAATTCAAACTCATTCAGAAAGTAATAAATAGAAATGATACCGATGATGAAAGGCATGGTGATAAGGCCACCCTTGCGTCTTTCTGATTGTTGTGAGATTTCATCAGCAGCAGCATCAACAGAACAAGGTTCAACTTCCTTGCCCATTTTCTTATTTGCGTCTTCTTAATGCAGATGCAGGAATAATATACAAGTTACAAACTTGTAATTATCTACAACCAATCAATCATTTAGTAACAAAAAAGTAAAAACCAATCAATCATTGCATTGAAATATCTTGACCCTCTCGTAGGTTCACATGATTTATACTTGTGAATTTTTTTCATTCCTCCATCTATTATTGTCAACCATCACCATAGGATGGATGTTATCTTCATCAAAGTAATTGATTTTATCTAATACGTGTTGGTAATCTTCAAAGTAATCCTTATCAATAAAAATCTAAAATATCTGAAATATCTAATAAGCATTCAACTTTGATGAAGAAAGTAATTTTGGATTAAATTTTATTCAACATTTAATAGAAAAATTCACTATTAACTGAGCGGCAAGACAATCCTATCATAACTGCTCAAAAATAAATGTCTAAGAGGTACTCCAATTAATAATACATAAAACAATTGCTAAAACTTCTTTTTTTTTAATAGTGCTAATATTTACATGGGTTGGGGTCCACGTTCCATAATAGTACCCGACAATTTGTTCCTTACCATGCTTAAAAGTAATTGTTTTAATATACACCCAAACTCTAGGTCAGAAGCATTTATCACAACAATAAGGTTTGAATTCAAATCTGGAAGTCCTAAGCAAAGTAATCTCTTAGCTATTTATTTTAATTAGATGACACTCTTTGTCATGGAATCATCTCAAGAAGAAGGATTATTTCTAAGTCTCTTGAACAATGGTATGAATATGGTTCTAAGGTTTGAGATAAAGTTTGAAATATAATTAAAGTATCCTAAAAACCTTTGTAATTGGGTTTTATCTTTTAATTTGTCTGAGAATTTACTAACAAATTATAAGGGCCTACTAATGGGTGTATATAAACCCTAACAAATATCAAAACCCAAAAATGAAACTTTACTTTGTAATAATTTTAATTTTTTTCTTCAGATAACACTAATCTATTACTTCTAATTATTTCATAGAACTAATTTAGGTGTTCTAGGTGTTGATGGATGGAATCAAAGAATACTAATATATCATCTTAATAAACTATAGTAAAGTGAGAACAATTATAAAATATAGAAGTCATAATATTGTGAAATTCTGAGGGGACATTTTTTAGCTCCAATGAGTACTACAAATGCGGTTTTATATTTATCCTCTTCTTGTAATTGGATTTGATAATAGCCAACTTTAAGGTCAAATTTTGAAAATATACTCTTATGGTGTAATCCAATTATCAAATCATTTTTATTAAATATTAGTTGTCTAATCCATTGTAATGCCTTTTTTTTAAAGGTTTGTAATTTATCATTAATTGAGGACTTTTTCTTTCTAATTATGTGGCATTAATAATATAAAATGTTGAGCAGCTTTAAGGAGACTTACCGGGTCTTATTAATTCTTTGTCTAAGTAATCTTGTATTTCTTTTTTTGTAGTAATCTAAATATTGTTTATTCATTTGTATTAGTTTGGCTTTATTGGAATATCGCTTTCTTCAAACTAAGACTCATAAAGCAAAGAAATTGCATGTATCTTTCTCTTATACAAGGCAGTAGGTTGATTTGAACAGAGATATTTTTATAAATTTTTTTTGTGTAATTTTAATTTTTATCTTGTACATCAGAAGATTGCAATTGTTCTTTTATATTTTTAAAGTGTATTTCTGTATTAATGAAATTAACCTATTTTCTTTTAATTTTAATTTGATTAATAAATTATATAATTTTATTCTGGACAAAGTTAAAATCTTTAATCTTTAAATTTTTTAGGAATTTAAATTTAACTTTTTATCCTAAGGCATTAGCGGTTATAGCCATATTATTAAAAAGGTCATGTAAAGATAATAAATGGATTCCTATAATAATGGATGTATGACTATTTTTTACTAAAAGAGAAGAAGTTCAATAAAGAATTTGATCTTTATGCATCTTAGCACTTCATAATTTTTAAGATAGTTGTAATTTATTACCATTAACTCATTGTAAGGATTTTTTGGTTTTTTTCATAATACTAGATTGCAATCAAACCTTGTTTGATGGAGTTTAAATATGCTCTTGAATCTATCAAAGTAATTAATCCATAAGTTTGTCTCTAACAATAAGATTTATTTTATTATATTATTTATGGAATATCTGTTTTTTTCTATTTTGTTAATATAGGTATCTACATTATTAAGTTGTTTCATTATTTCTAGTTAAACTAGATGAAGATAACATGATTTGTTTAACTTAATTTTGATTAATCATGTTTTCTTTTAATTATAAAAATTTAATTTCTATCTCAGCATCCCAAATTTTTAAAGTTATGATTTCATTCTTTAAATTTTCAATTTCTTTTTGTAAATCTTTAATAGAAACAATCTTTTCAATTGGTTTCTTAAACAAATCTAAAATATATTTAATTTATACTTTGTGAATATAATTCTGATGAATATTTTTTTCATCTATAATATTTTTAATCTGTCTCATGAAAGCTTGCTTATTTTCTGAGTGTTTCATTTTGTATTCATAATAAGGTGTTAGCTTGATTGTTTGTCAAAATATTAATTCTTTTGTTACAATGGTTATAATTGCAAAAGTAAAATTCTAAAAATTCATTGAAATTAGAATCTGAGTTTTCTAAATTATTATTTGATGTATTTCCTCGTAAGATAATTCTTTCGAAGATGAAGAGCTTTCTTCTTCTAAGTTTAATAAGATGGTTTTATAAAATAGTTATTAAAATTTCTTTTAATTTTTCAGAAATTTAATTACTAATTTCATTGATTTTTTTTTCGAACCTTGCATTTATTAGAATAATGGTCAAAACGACCACACTTATAACATTTAACATATTTGTATTTAGTTTTAGGTTTATTATTGTATTTTTGGTAATGTTTTTTACATGATATTTGTGTGAGTTTTTTATTTTGCAAAATTATGAATTAATGATATAGATTATTTATTAATTGTTAGTTTATTCTGGTTCACAAAAAAAATTTCGGCGAAACTTCTGACATTATATCTAGGGAAATTTCCGACGGATTCTCTAGCGCCACTTCCGGCAAAATCTCTGATAAAATATTTGATAACATTTCTGGTGACATCTCCAACATCACTTTTGAAGACGTCTCTAGTGTTGAATCTACCACCATATAAGCTACCATAACTCTCAGATCCGCAACTAGAACCACCACGGTCAAAACCATCAAATCTATCACTTATATTACAAGATTTACTCAAAGTTCAAATGTAACACCCCAAATTTAATTGAAATATTTTAATTAATTTATTTTAATTGAGAATATGCACTTTCGGTGATTTTTGGTAGTTTGGTGGATTATTGGAAAAGTGTGCATTTTGGGTTATTTATTTGATTAATAGTATATAATATTAATTTATTAGTATTATTATTAATATTTAAAATGAATATAAGTGAAAGAAGGGTAATTTGGGCAATTGTGAGGAGTAAGTGAGGGTATAATGGAGAAAGCCCAATTGTGAGGCCCAAGTCTAGGTTTAACAAAAAGGGAGTTCTGAAGGATTTTAGGATTCATTTATGTTAACCGTAAGAATTGAGGCCAGAGAGCTCTGAAGAGGAAATTGGAGGCAGAAGCGTTGAAAGATTCCCAGACAGATTTGTGAAGGCTTTGAATCAACGTTTAAGGTATAGGGAGTATTGTCTTTCATAATTTTCTATGTGTGGATTTCGATGTAGTAAGGTTGATTTAAGGGTTTTGAGGGTAGAGATGAGAAATTATGATCTTTGGCCTTCGTGGCCTAAACCGATTATAGGTAAATCTAGTCGTGGTTCAATTGAGGAAAAAGGGATTTTTGCCTTCGTGGCCTAAATCTGGTTTTGGAAACTCTGATGTTGTGGTGTAGTGGTAAGTATTTCTGACAGTAGAGCATAATATGAGAAAGGGAAACCTTAGGCCTTCGTGGCCAAAAGTTTGGATTGTTATATGACTGACACTGTAGGAATAGGAATATTCGAATGTGAGTAACTCTAATGCATTAGGATATAACTGAAGGAAAATTTGTGATTTAGGGCTGAATATGCTCTGGGATTGGTCTAATAAACCGTAGGTTTTGTGCCTTTATCGCCGTAGGACCTTAGGGGTGATTTAGGGATGTTATGGGGGCATTGGGCAAGTAAATCGTAGAGCCTTTTGGGTAGAAATTAGTTCTGGTGCGTAGCAGAATTTGCTGTCATCGTACAGTTCACCTAGCGAACCATGTTGTTCCCAGACTCGCCTAACGAAGAATCCTTCGCCTAGCAAAGAAACTCGCCCCAGACTCGCCTAGCGAACATGCCAGCGAACGTAGAAGAGTTTCGCGAATGTTGATCGTGTGCAGCGATGCCTTGATGTTTGATTCTGTGATTTCTGTGATGAGTTAACACGAGTATGACTGTGAGTTTTATGTGATGTAAACATGATGACATGATGATTTATATGACTTAATATGATGATATTACCATGACTTTGATGAATTATATGATGATATGAGATATGATGATGATTGACATGATGATGAATATGATGAATGATGATGCATTTATCCTGTTATATGAGGATGATTGTGACGTGTGCATCATGCATTCATGTGCATCCGGACTTCGGTTCAGGGCCTCGATTACTTTGGCTTCAATCTCAATGTGTGAATGTGAAGTGTTTTGATGTGCTCCAGTTCTCTAGCAGAATCGATCCTATTGATGGGGATCTATGGAGGGTTGATGGCCCGTGTCCATCACGCTGTGATGATTAGTACCACATGCATTGAGTCTATGTTGCATCTGCATTTATGAGTCTTTTGTATAAATTATGATGTTGTGGTCTTCGAGGCCTATTAATGAATATGAAGGTTGAATATGAATATGATGTCGTTTATATGTTGATTTTTATACATTGGTTATTATGAATTGTTTTACTCACCCTGCCTGTTTGAATGTTACCTCCACGTGGGTAACGTGCAGATGACCAAGTTTAGCCGTGGAC